TAAATCCTTCAGACTGAGGTAATGGACTTGGAGACTGGATTTTTTCCATCTGCGCTCTGCTTTCCTGCATTCCCTTTTTTTGGCTGCGAATGCTGTCATTTATCCAGGGTTGCTTACTAGCTTTAGACGTAGGCCTAACCTTTAGAGGAGCAGTAATATTTAGTGACGACAAGCAGATATGATTGAAGTGATCGACCAGATTGGCGGCATGAGTAACAGGCGAATCGCAGCTAAAAACAATACATCTGTGGTCAGATATGGTCATGTCCACCAATTCCACAGAGGAAATGCTGACACCCAGGGTAAAAACCAAGTCCAGTGTATGACCACGGTTATGTGTTTGCCCTTTGACATGTTGTTTGAAGTTAAAAGAAGTGGCCATACAACAGCTGCCATGAAGACAGGCAAACTACTACCACATAAGAAGAGAGATGATGAAACTAAAATTATCAAGGCAATTTTAGATTTACAAATGAGGGTTTGAACTCATTACAGAGCCAATTAGACAATATCTTTGAGGAAGAGGCGCCTTCATTAGATCCAGACGTAAATGGATCGAACAAGGTGAGAAGAACACAAAATATTTTTTTGGATTAGAAAAAAGAAATGCTGAATTTTCTACAATAAATAAGTTGATAAATAATGGAGTAGAAACCAAAGGGACTCAAAGGATCTCTTAACATGTAGCTCTGTTTTATCAGAAACTCTTCAACCCCTCCAACGTCTCACATTAACTCTTTCTTACATAAAATGTCATTGAATGCAACTAAAATAAAAGATGACTTTAAAAACTCTTCAAGGAGGAGATATCTTTACCTGAAACTGTTGAATGTATTAAAAGTCTAAAAGACAACAAATCTCCCGGTAATGATGGTCTAACAGGAGAATTTTATAAAGCATTTTCATCAAAACCTGCCCCTTTCTTACTGACTTTATTCCAAGAATCTCTCCAGAAAGGTGAGCTTCCTGCTACATTAAAACAAGGATTAATTACATTAATTACCAAACCAAAAAAAGATAGATTGCACATAGAAAACTGGAGACCTGTAAGTCTTTTAAATAATGACTGTAAATTATTTGCATTAATCTTTGCCAATAGATTAAAACCAGGATTAAATAAGATAACATTTGTTGAATACTGGACGTGATAGTGTGGTGTCCAAACAATAATGCTGCGCTGATGTGTTGAGAAAAATCCGCCTGACACTGTTCTTGATCATAAAAGTTTATTAAATCAAGGAGTTCAGCATCAAAAACAAGCTCTGCAGCAGCTTGGAGAGTGACCCAGCCCGATGGCCACTCTGTCTCTCTGTACATCAAACACAGCTTATATAGGATATGTTTAGTATCTGTTAGGTACCATAGAGGGGTTTGAGCCTGCAAAATAAAAGGTCAACCCCATAGAAGGGTACAGTACTATTCTGAGGTAACAAAACAAGGGGTTAGAGGTCAAATTCTATAGAAGGGTTCAGTCCCTACATAACCACCAATCACCGCTCTCCCCGTAGAAGGTCACTGACCCTCTGTCTTGCTGCTACAGTGCTATTTTGAACTGTTATGAGTCAAATGCACAAATATTGGATACTGCAATAGATTATAAGGACTTAATATTGGATACAAGCTTTATTTTGTTTGACTTCTACAAGGCTTTAGATACCGTTGAACATGATTTTCTTCTTAAAGCCATCTCAGGATGCTTCAGGAAATATTTTCTCAATGCTATTTAGACGCTGTATAATGGTCGTTCAAGCTCTGTAAAACTAATGCATGGTGCATCAGAAAGATTTAATATTCTATGTGTTACGTCCCAAGGTGTCTAGGGATATATCCTTCCAAACCATATAGGGATATGGTTTGGAAGGATATTTATTTGAAATAATGCAAGTGGAGCACAAACAGAGGATGGGCCAATGGGTGCTGTGGAAATCAACAAACAATTATAACAAAAGGAGATCCTCAAAAGGAGGATTACTGCTTACAGAGATACTAACAAAACAAGAATAAACCAAAAGCTCACTAACCTACTGCATTTGAAAAACACAAAACGCACAGCACCCCTGAGCCTGGTGAAAACTAACAAAACAACTATGGTGTGTGCAAGAAAGGTGTCAGTGATAGCTAAGCTTAAACCTGGCCCACTCTCTTACCTTCACACAGTGAAACACACAAAGTCAAGACACAAAGTCTAGCACGGGTTACAAAACACTACTATAAGCTCTATGACATGCGTTCCCAAAGCAAGCAACTCAGGTCAGATTGCTGCCTCGAATGGCAGACCCGGCAGGCTTTTAAGCAGGTGGTGGTCGTCACTGTCGCCATTTGATTGGCCCGTAGAGCATGCCGCACCAATCGAGGGCATGGTCACTGGAAACCCAGGAAGTAGACGGGACCTTCTCTCCTTGTGCAGCCAATCCTCCGCGTGGGCTTGCACAGCTTGCTCAGCATAACAGATAGCCTACTTAAAAGCACAGGCAAATACAGGTGGGGGCGGTGGCAGCTGTAACAACTGTAATATCTCCCTTTTTGTTCCTGTCACCCAAATAATGTCTAAAAAACCTGAATTTTTAGGAATAAGGGCTGTAGAAAGAGATTTTAAAATTTGTCAATTAGCGGATGATACTGCAATTTTTTTTTGAAAAACCACAACCAAGTCACTAAAGCAGTATTCTGTATTGATGAGTTTACTAAAGTCTCAGGTTAAAGATGAATCTAGATAAATCTATTTTGTTTCCAATCAAAAGCTGTAATCTATCGGATTGTTATGGAATCCCAGTTAAAGAAAAGGTAACCTACTTGTGCATTAATATCTGTAAAGGTGTAGAGAAATGATATAAATCCAATTTTGACCCCATTATTGAAAAAACTCATGGTTAATGAGAGAGATCTCTATATATGGTAGGGTCCTTTTATCCAAAGCAGAGGGGATATCTAGATCTGTTTATGTGGCTTTATCACTTAGCGTCCCAACCAATGTTACTAAGGAGCTAAACAAAATACTTTACGATTATATCTGGAGAAAAAAGCCCCATTATCTAAGAGAAGAAGTTATTAGAGGTTGTTTAAAACAAGGCGGTCTGGAGGTTCTGGATTTCACTATATTGAATAATACCTTATATATATTTCTTTTTAAAATGGAAATTTTCTGTTGACCAAATCCCGAATTAGATTAGCTAACTTCCACAAGCAGGCCCTTTTAGCCTGGACACTGGTATACAATCATAACTTCAGTCCTCATAGATACTTTATTTGGAATAATTAAGACATCTTGTACAAAAATAAATCACTGTTTTATCGCTCAATGGAATTTTGCTAGTTGGACAACTCTTAAACAAGAATGGTTTGTTACTGTCATATTCAGAATTCCTTCAAAAGTTCAAGATCCCAGTCACACCCAAAGAACATGACACTGTTTTTGATGCTATTCCTGCAGGTCCTCTTAAATTTTTGAGAAATGTTTATTTCACAGAAAGAAACAAAAATTTTTTATAGAAGGAATTAATATTGAGAAAAAGTCATGCAGTAACAAACATAAGAAATGTTTTGGACTATACCACACTCTCTGCAGCAAAGTTCTTTTGGTCGTCTATTGTGAGTGATTTACAGTGGGAAAAGGCATGTACTACTCTTAACAAATATTGTATTAACAATAAGGTAAAAGAAGTAAACTTTAAGATTTTGCATCGTATTTACCCCGCTAAAGAAGTGTTGCAAAGATTTAAACATAACATTGATTATAACTGTGTTTTGCAATTCAGAAAGAGGAACTATATTCCATCTTTTTTACCACTGTGAACATACAAATAAATTTAGGAAAAATTTGGAACATTTTATTAACAGAAAAACGGTTAAAAGTATACTGATTAATGTATTTGATGTCATGTTATATTTTGTGCTACATGGTCCAGACAATATTAAGTATTTTGTGCAACTCCTCATCATACTTGGAAAATTCCATATCCACAAATCAAAATGGACTGAATCCAAACCCTGCTTCAATGGATTTACAGTTGAACTGAAACACTACTGCACCTCTTAAAAAATAAAAAAGCAATAAAGTGTCTTAATATTATAGAAGAACTGAATTTAATTTGAGCTTCTGGCAATGTAAAATGTAACTGAATGTCTGTGGGAAAAAAAGGGAGAGAAAAAAACGCTTTAAGTAGGAAATTCATGATCTACCAGCAAAAAAACACGTCTGCGTCGAGATACCGGCTGATACGGAGCGATGCAGCAGCAGCCGCCAAGGGGCGGTGCTGTTTTAGAAAACATCCGCTGAGACATTCACTTGTGTAACCTGTGTAAAATAGTCATTTTTCATGGTATTGGTATGAACTTTAAACTTGGACTAGGTAAGGCTTTATGCTGTGGCCCTACAGCTAATAAGTCCCAGCTGTAGTTGTCTGCATGCATTTGTTAGCAAGCATTTTGTGGATATACAACACAACCCTACAGTGATATTGCAGGACATGATTCTCTTATATGCTTACCCCTTAAGGCACACTAGAACATTCTATACCAACTGTCAATTACCATATATGGCAAACACGAGAGACACACAGGGGTGCAGTTTCCAGCATATAATCATTGCTTAGCCGGAAGTAGTCAGACTCTGTGTTAGACAGCCTGACAGCAGAGTCTCCGGATATATATCTGTATTGGGTTGAATAAATCAACATTGTGTGAACTTGATACCTTGTCTCATCTGATCCTTCTCATCAACGAATTCGGGGAAGTCGTTGCACTTATATTTTAAATATTTAAATATAATAATTAAATATTTTAGTTTTAGTGTGTTTAAAATGATATTAATCAATTCCAGTAGCACTTACAATCATTCTGACTTTTGGGTTAGACATTCAAGAGTGTTATCTTATCTTAAACCAGGCATATACTCCAAATGGTTCAGGAACTACATTCAATTTACTTTGGATCTGCCTTGAAGAGGCGTTTTGCATGAATTTTACAGGAATGTTAAGAGGTGCGCTAAATATCCAGTAGTGAATCAGTACTTTGGAATGAAAGACAACCTGTGTTACAGGTGAAGAAACAGCTTTTATGAAAGGTCTGACAAAGATCAAACCCCTCACTGACTCACCAGAGACAAACCAGGAAACAGCTTCTTATCCTTCCTCACTACAGAGACACAGAGTGAAAAACAGACAATCAGATTCACCTTCAGACCAAACTGACAACTTCCTCTGAGTGAGTTCAGCTACAGGAGAGAAAAGTGGAAAACTACAACACTGCTGCTTCAACCTGCTGACGCTCCACACACTGAAGGTGAGTTTGACTAAAAACACAACTCAAATGACTGTTTTTCCACTTTTCCAATGTCCTTTTCCCCCTTTAGTTGTCTTTTTACCAGGTAGTTTATTCATCATTATACAACGCAAGGTTGTACACACAGGCGGGGGTGAAATCTTACACAGACACAACAGATTTCCACTTTGTGTACAGTTGAGTTTGTACAACTGTTTGCCATTACAATAAACAACAAACATACCTGGTTTGTTTTCTAACTCTATAGATTTAGGGTGAATTCAGGTAATTTGGGACAGCATAAGAAAAAAGCCTTTTTCTTCTCCCCTGAAAAGTTTAAGTCAAAGTTATTGGTGCTAAGACCTTGCTGTGAATGCACATAACTAAAGTCACACTACATAGTTTATGTGTCATCACACGGGGGGGTGTGGTCTGCACCAAACAGGAAGTTGATCCCAAAAAACAAGAGTTAACAGAAAGGACATAGGCTTTAGCTTGATTTTGATATAAGGGTAAAACATGTTATGACTGATATAATGTGGATTTAAATGATATACAAAACATGTATGGTGTCATAGTGTACCAACATACAAAATATTGTTTGGAAAATATGTTTACATTTTTTAAATTAGTAAACACTAGTGTGGATTCATAAAACCAGATATACAGAGGGACCACTCATGTATGTCAACACAGAACCACAGAGATGTAACCTACAGGCAACTTTTAAGTAGATAGAGTAAAATGCTATTGCTAATGATGCTAATCCCTTCAAATTAGCCTATTCCAACAATCTTCTGACAATGGTAAACAATAAAGCAAATGGTAGTGCTGTAACCTATAATTAAGTCTAATCAAGAAGCAATGCTGATGCATGCAGGCGTTTGTAACTTTAGACATATATTTATTTAATTTAAATAAGTTTAAAATAGGGGAGAGCGGGATAAGTTGTCTCGTGTGTAGGTTGGGATACTGCTCATAACTCCAACACTAGGGGCGCTATGACAAAAATCAAATTTTGTGTGACTTCTTTTTCTTTGTTCACCTTCCTGTTCACATGTGGTCAAGGTCACTCTAATCAGAGGTGAGCACAATTATTTTTATCATTTTGCTTCAAAAGTAAAACATTTGCACTTTACATTTTATGTATTCCAACCTTATTAGGTGTGAATGTTCAAAATGATAACTATGCACAAAGTAAAGGAGACAATAACGTGTCTTTTGATACTTCAGCTGTAGTGCTATGCTAAGCTAACCTTGAGATTTAGCCAACATTAGCACACATGTCAACTTTGGGACAAGTTGTCTCAATGACTTTGGGGCAAGTCGTCACATGTGATTAGTTGCTCCAGTATAAATAAACACATAGAACATGCTCAAAAAACTATGTGAAATTGTGTAATTACCTCTGACACTAGTGTTAAATTATTCTGTAAATAGAATATTATGCACTGTTGTGAGTATATGGGGCAAATTGTCACAAGTGCACACTCTCTATTCAACAGTCTACAGCTCCATAATGAGATAAGATAGGAAGACGTAATGAATACAAAACTTCTGCCCAAGACTTCATTCTTTCATTTTGTATGACATTTGTACCATTGTGATGTACGGTGCTCAGTAAATATTAGACAGTGTGAAAAGTGTGAAAACATACCCCTACTTTTTTAAATTTATGACAAGAACGAGATCACAAGATAGAATTACAAAAACTGTCCCAATATACCTGAATTCACCCTAGTGTGGTGGTTTATTCTGGTCTGATGAGAATTTCCCTCTCTCACACATAGGAAAACGCACAAACACACTCAGCAGTCCACTACTCGCCCCAGATGTGCGATATTGCAACAAAGTTAAAGTTTCAGTACCCTGTTCAGAAGACTATTGCTCAAGGAGAAACGCAGTTCAGCCCTTTATGGTAGGTACAGGTAATATTAAAGTGTTATGGCCTTTTTAACAAGGGAAGCGACACTCCGCCTGCGTATTCGCCTGTGCTTCTCATGTGAACAGACACGGAGACAAGCGCTCCACGAGTAAATGGAAGGCGATCAATAGATAGTAACCATGGCAAAGTGAAACTATAGGCAAGGCAAGGCAACTTTATTTGTATAGCACATTTCAACAACAAGGTAATTGAAAGTGCTTTACATAAAACCTAAAACCAACAGGGAAATATGTAAAAGTTTAAAAGCAAAATATAATAAAAGTTACAGTGTTACAATCAGGATTAAAAGAGTTAAATGGAAAATAATAAAAACCTAAAAACAAAGACAAAGAAAACAGGACAGTCAAAGTTACAGTGCAGTGTAAGTTATCAATAAAAAGAAAATTCTTAAATATTTAATTAAAAGCAATGGTAAAAAGAAAAGTCTTCAGTCTTAATTTAAAAGAACTGACAATTTCAGCAGACCTGCAGTTATCTGGGAGTTTGTTCCAGATATATGGAGCATAATAACTGAACGCTGCTTCTCCTTGTTTAGTTTTGACTCTGGGGACAGAAAGCAGACCTGATCCCAGACGACCTGAGAGGTCTGGATGGTTCGTAACGAAGCAGAAGATCAGAAATGTATTTTGGCACTAAACCATTTCGTGCTTTATAAACTAACAGCAGGATTTTGAAATCAATTCTTTGACATACAGGAAGCCAATGTAAAGACCTCAGAACTGGAGTGATGTCCACCTTTTTGGTCTTAGTGAGGACTCGAGCAGCAGCGTTCTGAATCAGCTGCAGCTGTCTGATGGATTTCTTAGGGAGCCCTGTAAGGACACTGTTACGAGTCGACTGAAGATAAATGCAAGGATAAGCTTTTCCAGGTCCTGCTGAGACATAAGTCCTTTAATCCTTGATATATTCTTCAGGTGATAGGCTGATTTTGTAATTGTGTTAATATGGCTCCTCAAATTCAGGTCTGAGTCCATGACCACACCAAGATTTCTGGCTTGATTTGTGGTTCTTAACATTACAGACTGAAGTCGAGCACTTTCAATCGTTCCTCCCTGGCTCCAAAAACATTACCTTCAGTTTTATTCTTGTTTAATTGAAGAAAATTCTGGCACATCCAATCATTGACCTGCTCAATACAGTTACTCAGTGCCTGTATGGGATCATAGTCCCCTGGTGAAATGGTTATGTAAATCTGTGTGTCATCTGCATCATTATGGTAACATATTTTGTTGTTTTTCATAATCTGAGCCAGTGGAAGCATGGAAATGTTAAACAAAAGAGGTCCCAGAATGGAGCCTTGGGGAACTCCACATGTCATTTTTGTCAGCTCAGATGTGTGATTACCTATAGACACAAAGTAGTCCCTGTCCTTTAAGTAGGATTCAAACTATTTTAGTACTGTGCTAGAAAGTCCAACCCAGTTTTCAAGTCTGTCTAGTAATATGTGGTGGTCGACCGTGTCGAATGCTGCACTGAGATCCAATAATACTAAGACTGAAATTCTGCCACTGTCAGTGTTTAAATGGATGTAATTGAAGACCTTAACAGAGACGGCTCGTCTCAGTGCTGTGGTGTGGTCGAAAACCTGACTGGAAGACATCAAAACAGTTATTTAGTGCCAAGAAAGCACTGAACTGTTGAAAAACAGCCTTTTCAATGATTTTATTTAAAAATGGGAGATTTGATTTGGGCCTTTAATTGCTCATTAGTGAACTGTCCAGATTGCTCTTTTTTAAGAGTGGCTTATTGACTTAAATTTTCAGGGCCTGTGGGAAAAAAACCTGAGAGGAGAGACATATTGACAATTTGTAGTAGATCTGAGGTCATGCATTTAGACACATTTTTGAAAAAACCTGTTGGCAACATGAAGAGGATTTCAGATGTTGTATTATGTCCTCCAGGTTTTTATGGTTAATAGAATCAACTTGTTTCATGCTATATGAATAGTTTTTAAGTGGACACAGGGACAAGACATATCCTGTTACTGACATGGAGGCACTGATTGCTTGTCTAATTGTTTGAATTTTGTCTGTGAAGGAGGAGGCAAATTCATTGCAGGCCCTGGTGGATAGAAGTTCAGAGGCTACAGACACAGGAGGGTTGGTTAGCCTGTCGACAGTAGCAAACAGGGCACGTGCATTATTAGTGTTTTTGGTGATGATGTCAGAAAAGAAGGACCGCCTTGCATTGCAAGTCTTTCTTTATAGATGTCATAATGAACCTGGAGATTTGATTTCCGCCACCTGGGTTCAGCTTTTCGATACTCTCTTTTTTTAATTCTTACCAGCGTGCCATTTCTCCATGGAGATCTTCTCTTACCAGAGACCACCTCCACCTTGGCTGGTGCAATGGCATCAATAACATTTGTAATTTTAGAACTGAAATTATCTACAAGCTCATTGACTGAGACCCGTGAGAGGGCAGGTGTTGAGGAGAAAGCCTCAATAAATTTTTCACTAGTGTTTTCAGCGATATGCCGTTTTGTGATCACCTCTGTTTTAACATTTGTGTGCACGCAGATAACACTCTCAAAGAAAACACAGGAATGATCAGAGAAAGCAACATCAGTCACCACAACCTTGGAAATGTCCAGACCCTTGGAGATGACCAAGTCCAAAGTGTGCCCCTTATTGTGCGTGGGCCTCGTCACATGTTGAGTCAGTCCATAATTATCAAGAATACAACACAGGGTAAGTAACGTTAGTTGATAGGCTATGTTATATATAAGCTATTATTCATATTGCTGATAAATCTAGTCATGCCGAAAAGCGATTGCAGTCTGCTGGAGCTGTATTGCCCAGTCTCTTCAATCACTTTCTGGCAATTGAAATAGCCTACTGCATTTTATGGGTTGTATTGGCCATTTAAAGGCATTTTAAGAGGTAAAAAGTACTAGGTGAGCTATAATCTGTCAAATATAACTCCTGAATGAAATCAACTAATTTCAGGCCAGAAATAACCTTTCAGTCAATAACAAAAGGCTTCCATCTTTTTCTGGTAAGTGAAATACTGCATTTCATGAGTTGTATTGGCCATTTAAAGGTATTTTAACAGGTAAAAAAAGAGTGGATTGGTTGGTAGGCCTACACAGGAAGTAAAATAATGTCATTGCAAAATTGTCTTCATTTTATATCTAAGTTGGCAGTAAGTCATGTCAATTAGGCTACAGCCCATTTTCCAAATATAAACAACGATATTACACAGAGGCCTACCAAACATCAGTTTTTGGCGGACGATCTCTTTTCGGCACGACACCGGCAGCCTGGTGAAACTAGTTTTGTATTCATTCATTCCAGAAATGATGAAATAAAACAAAGTCAAATTGTAGTGGTAGTGATGGCGCAATGGATGAGACGCCACCATTGTGTCCCTGAGCAAGACACTTAACTCCTAGTTGCTCCAGAGGCGTGTGACCTCTGACATATATAGGAATTGTAAGTCACTTTGGATAAAAGCGTCAGCTAAACGAATAACTGTAATGCGTCTGTTAGCCTACTTTCTATTTGCCACAGTTGGTAACAATTTTATAAAAGCAATAGCTCACTTCAGGCCGTGATATACGCTTATTAGGCAATATCACGGTGAATGGGCGTTGTTCGGCCCGGCGCGAGCGGAGCGCTATACCACACCCTGTCGTGAGCTATTGCTTAAATGATTTTAAGTAATTTTATGCATCATGTTGTGTCTGTGTGTCCTGTGATGGACTGGCGACCTGTCCAGGTTGTACCCCGCATTTAGCCCGATGTCAGCTGGGATTGGCTCCAGCCCGCGACCCTGCATAGATAAGCTCATATGGAAGATGGATGGACTTTGTTTGTTGTTGGGGCAGCATGCTGTCTGGGTTGTGAACTACAGCAGTATAATCCCCTTCCACAAGTTTGTTCATGCCCCAATGTTTATTGATCAGTTTGTCATTAATTGGGTTGCCCATGTTTTGTAGTCCAACTCAAACACCCTCCACCAGGTTCCACAGGGCCAAGGTGAGCTCCAGGTGAGGCAGGCAACACATGAGGGTTAACAACAAAAGACAGAGTACAATAAGTCATTCAGATTTGTTAGTCAGATCTTTTAGATGCATTCATAGTGACTGTCAGTTGTTAAACTATCAATTAACATATTAAATACTTTCAAATCAAACAGGGACTAAAATAAAAATTGCAAAGAAAAAATATCTTGTTTGTGACTTGATTCTGTTTCTGTGGCAAAGCACACAACTGAATCTTTAATTTTAGAGCAGCAGGCTGCACACAGTCAGTCTACATATGCAGCAATGAATCAGTACTTTGAAATGAAACACAACCTGTGTTGCAGGTAGAACAACGGCAGAGCAGGTCTGACGCTCCACACACTGAAGGTGAGTCTGACTAAAAACACGACTCAGAGTGGAAGTTAGTAGAGGCGGGAGGGGAGCCATGACTGACTGTACTTTCTGTCTGCTTTCAGCTTCAGAGACAAAATGGCTTCCAGATCAGAGGAGGATCTCTGCTGTCCGGTCTGTCAGGAGGTCTTCAGAGATCCTGTTGTTCTGTCATGTAGCCACAGCTTCTGTAAAGTCTGTCTGAAGAGCTGGTGGAGACAGAAACAAGCACCCGAGTGTCCAGTTTGTAAGAGAAGATCTTCAAAGGAAGATCCACCTCGTAACCTGGTGTTAAAGAAGCTGTGTGAGGCCTTCTTACAGGAGAGAGATCAGAGAGCTTCAGAGGCTCTCTGCAGTCTGCACTCTGAGAAACTCAAACTCTTCTGTCTGGACCATCAGCAGCCAGTGTGTGTCGTCTGCAGAGATTCAGAAAAACACAGCAACCACAGATTCAGACCCGTCGATGAAGCTGCACGACAACACAAGAAGGAACTTCAGGAAACTCTGGAGCCCTTAAAGGAGAAGTTAAAGGTTTGTGAACAAGTTAAAGTGAAGTTTGATCAAACAGCAGAACACATGAAGGTCCAGGCCCGACACACAGAGAGGCAGATTAAGGAGCAGTTTAAGAAGCTTCAGCAGTTTCTAGAGGAGGAAGAGGAGGCCAGGATGGCTGCACTGAGGGAGGAAGAGGAGCAGAAGAGTCAGATGATGAAGGAGAAGATGGAGGCTCTGAGCAGAGAGATAGCAGCTCTTTCAGACACAGTCAGAGCCACAGAGGAGGAGCTGAGAGCTGAAGACGTCTCATTCCTGCTCAACTACAAGGCTGCAGTGGAAAGAGTCCAGCAGCGCCCCCTGCTGGATGATCCACAGCTGCCCTCAGGAGCTCTGATAGACCAGGCCAAACACCTGGGCAACCTGACCTTCAACATCTGGAACAAGATGAAGGACATGGTCTCCTACACTCCTCTCATTCTAGACCCAAACACTGCTCATCCAGAACTCATCCTGTCTGAAGATTTGACCAGTGTGAGACGAGGAGAGAGACAGCAGCTTCCTGACAATCCAGAGAGGTTTGATAAACTCTGGTCTGTCCTGGGCTCTGAGGGCTTTAACTCAGGGACTCACAGCTGGGATGTCGAGATTGGAGACAATACAGGCTGGATACTGGGTGTGTTAGCACAGTCTGTCCAGAGGAAGGGAGACAACATAGAGTCTGGATTATGGGGAATAGGGTTCGTTGAAGGTAAATACTTTGCAGGGTCCCCATCAGCTCCACTCACTGATCTCAGAGTTCAGAAGAAGCCCCAGAGGATCAGAGTGAATCTGGACTGGAACAGAGGAAAGCTGTCGTTCTCTGATCCTGATACTAACACACACATACACACCTTCACACACACTTTCACTGAGAGGCTGTTTCCATTTATTTACACTGGGGATGAAGTGAAGCTGTCAGCAGTGAAGGTCTGTGTGACAGTGGAACAGAGCAGTTAGAGATAAAGAGGATGATTATATTCATGATGTTGTTGATTTCTTAAAGGGAAAAGTCTCTGAATTTAACCTGTTAAGCTGCACCTGTCCTCCTGCTGTCTCATTATTCCAAACATATCTTTATTTTCTTTCACTTGTTGTTTTTTATTCTTTGTATTTTCTTTTTCTTGTTATTTAGTTTGACAATCAGCTTTTTGTTTCTCCTGTCGGCCTTTTCATATGTAAAATGATTTCACTGAGTTTCTTTATGTTTGTTTGGTTTAGCCGTTTCTTTTTTATCCACACTGTCGTTTTAAATAGTTGTTCATGTTTTATTATTTTTACTTGTGTGTGTGGAGCCATGAAGACCAGCAGCCACTTTGTGGAAGCTGATGAGGATTAATTAATTACATGTGTGAAATCTTTACAAAATATGAAATATAGGTTTTAAATGATCCAAAATATTTGTACAAACACATCAAAAATCACAGTTTGATGTGACGAAGCCGTGATGATTCTGTCTGTCAAAGTGTGTGTTAACAGCTTATGATGGCTGATGGGAATGTCTTTAGTTCTGCGGGTATTTGGTCATAAACCAAAGTGTTGGAGACGTGAACATGTTGACCTGATGATGGCGCTACATGGAAGTTTTTCTTAAAATATCTCTTTTTATGTGTTTTTATTTCATAACTTTTCCAAATGACTCTTTTAGTTCATAATGTGTCTTTTCACAACAACTGAAAAACAGCATTATGAATGAAACATCCAAAAAATCATGACTGATAGGAGCTGCCACTTTTCACATTAAGTGAGTGGCCTACTCAGCCTGAGTAATAGTGAAGTTGTATTTTGAATGTAGTTACTGAACTTCCTCTAACTTTAACCCTAATGTAGCCGACTCCTGTTTACTCTGTGGTTTCAGGAGCAGGCCTATAAGCCTATGCACCCCCAGCCCTTCTGCATCCATGATCAGGAACATTCTGCTTTTCTGTGCTGATTTTCTGTCAATCTTTTTGATAGAAAGAAGCTGAATTTTCTTTGTTGCTGTTCACGAGTTGATGCTGAGGCCCAGAGTTATAAGCAAACGTTTCAATGGTTTACTGTTAGTATTTTTCATACCACTCATTTCCTGAAGGCTGTTTCAGAGATGAGTCAAGCCACAGACTCCAAAACTTTTCAAAGTAAAAGCTCTCAGTTCAACGGGAAATAAAGCATTGCCAGGTAAAGTTGGGAGGTTGTATCAAAGTGTAGCTCCCTATCTTACTATACAGTATATTATGTACATGTAGTTTAATTTGTCTGAGCATTTTCAATTTTACACCCTTTTATTTTATCCCACTTCTCAAGAACCAGATGAACGCAAACACAAAAAGCTCCACATTTAATAATCACACATAGTAGTTGTAATGCCTGCAGGACATCCACCACCTCACTGTCATCAATGTCGGCAAATTCAGTTAGCAAACCCATATCTGTAAAATATAATACAGACAATTTTCACATTAATACACCGCAGATGATGAGAGCAAACATGTCCTAAATACTAAACTTTACCAGGAAAATATTTCCCAAATATATCTTGAACTCCATCTAAATCAGACTCACAGAAACTCCCGAATTACTGGGAGAACATTTATCTCCTCATGACACGAACTGAGAACAACCAGTGGAAAGTCAGACTGATATAGAAAATAAATCATTATTATTGTTTGTTATTTTAATAAGTGTTTCTTGGCAGGAGAAATATTACCGCATGTCGAAAAGAAAGACATATTTTCAATGTAAGATATATTTGCTATATGTTTTTAGGTTTTTTTTCTCTCATTTTGTAATTTATATTTATTATTTATATGTGGCTTTGTGCTTTGGCTACATGTTTGAACTAAAATATTATGCCGATAAAGGTAACTGAATTTAACTGAATGAGCTGACCGAGAGAGTGAACAACACAACCGTCTGTATTTAGTAGCAGGGAAAACAGGCCTGCCCACAGAAATGACTGGGGCCCTGAAAAGGTCCAGTAAATGGGCCCTCCGGAAATCTGCTTTAGTCATGTCAACGCATGCTGTGCTCTCTCTGTCTCCTACATAAACACTTACATGGCATGCGGTGCCATGCGGTGAACATCATTAGTGCTGAACTGCATGGGCCCCCCTAGCAGCTGGGCCCCTGAATGCTTTCCCTTTTTTCCCCCCTCATGGGCGGCCCTGAGGGAAAATAGTAGGGCTGCAACTAATGATTATTTTCGTAGTCGACTAATCTGTCAATTATTTTTTCAATTAGTCCATTAGTCACAATTATTTTCTGTCAACCCCTAACCAAACCATTTAACTAATTAAATATCTTTCAAGTGAATTACTGATCTCACACAGCCTAACTAGCTATCAGAATGAAAACTAGAATCAATGCCAGTGGAAAATAGGGAAGAAGACAAGACAGGGTAGGCTACTCCTATAATTCACTGATTTACTATTGCATTTTTTAACGTGTTAGCTAACACAACTAAAATAGAGTTCTCTTAGCCAGCATCATCCACAAGAGCTCACAACCACAAATGTAAAGAACTACGGAGAGGCTGCTCCAAGATAACAGCCAGGTTTTCTCACCCAAAACAATAAGCTCACAGTCAAATAATTTATTGCCAAGTAGGTTTTAACATACAAGATTTTTTGCATTTTTACAAAAGATTTTTACAAACCATTTTGTAAAGACAGAATAACAGCTGTAAGGAAGTATCTTACAGTTCTGCTCTCTGCCTTTGCTGCTCTGTTGTAACTCATGTCAGTTTAAACTCTTTAACCTGTGTGTTGTAGTGTTTAAAGGTCAGCAGCTGGGAAACACATCTGTTACCTTAAAACACTGGAGGAGTTGTGTTGGTCGCTTCAGGGGCACTCGGGAATTCCAGTGTTGAAAACTGTAAAATTAAAAAAAGACAATTTCATTAAGAGTAAATTTATCAAAACCTGCTTTATTGACAAGTAGGTTTATACACACAAGGAATTTGCTTTGGTATTTTGGGGCGTAACAATAAACATAGTATATTCAGTGTACTTTGGAAATGTAATAGGTTATGGATTACAAGTTACCCTATTAAAAATGTAATAGTAGTGTAACTATTCAATTACTTTTCAAAGTAATGTAACTCATTACATTTAATTACTTTTTTATTACATTTCTAATGAACGTTTTCAGCTGTTAACCATTTTCAAAGACAGCTTGAGAGGCAGTTTAACTGGCAGACGGGTGACGCTGCAAATTCAAACATGAGAACCAATCGAAAGCATCAGAATAGCATCAAACTTAATACTACCACTAAACAGCTGTGGCTGGAAATGACAAAGTATCATACTCTCAATTTCTATTCAATTCAGTTCAATTCAATTCAATTTTATTTATATAGCGCCAAATCACATCAACAGTTATCTCACAGCGCTTTTCATAAAAGAGCAGGTCTAGACCGTACTCTATGAGGTTATTTACAGAAGCCCAACAGTTCCCACCAAGAGCAGCACTAGGAGACAGAGGCAAGGAAAAACTTCCTTTTAAGAGGCAGAAACCTCGAGCAGAACCATGGCTCAGGGTGGGCGGCCATCTGCCTCGACCGGTTGGGGTGAAGGAGAGAGAGGGAGAGAGAGAGAGCGAGAGAGAGAGAGAGAGGGCAGGAGAGGAAGAGAGAGAAAAAGAGAGGGATGTAAGGAGAGAGAGAGGGGAGGGAGGCAGCCTACACAATATACACACAGAGGTACAGACAGTAAAGGTGATGTTGCTATAGACACAGATGCACAGATGGTACAGATATTTATAGTAGTGTTAATGGTAACAGTCGTAATGTTAATTATTATAATAACAATAATAACAATAGGACTAGCAACAATAGTCGTTGCAGCAGAGGGTGTCGAGCAGGAACACGGGGGCAGCAGGTGACCCGCAACCACAGATCCAGACTCCACAGCTCCAGAGCCAGAAACACCTGCAGGAAGTGATAGGAGGAGAGAGGAGAGGGACGAGAAAGCACAAGACTACCAGAAAGGGGAGAAGTTGTGTTAGTAACATGCAATAATGGGATAAGGTTGCATACAGAGGGAGAGAAAGTAGAGGAGAGAGGAGCTCAGTGCATCATGGGAAATCCCCCGGCAGTCTAGGCCTATAGCAGCATAACTAAGGGATGGTTCAGGACTCACCTGAGCCAGCCCTAACTATAAGCTTTATCAAAGAGGAAAGTCTTAAGCCTACTCTTAAATGTGGAGATGGTGTCTGCCTCCTGAACCCAAACTGGAACCTGGTTCCACAGGAGAGGAGCTTGATAGCTGAACGCTCTGGCTCCTAGTCTACTTTTGGAGACTCTAGGAACCACAAGTAACCCTGCATTCTGGGAGCGCAGTGCTCTGGTGGGGTAGTACATTACTATGAGCTCTTTAAGATAAGATGGTGCCTGACCATTAAGAGCTTTGTAGGTAAGAAGAATAATTTTAAATTCTATTATGGATTTTACTGGAAGCCAATGCAGAGAAGCTAAAACGAAGAAAGAAATGTGATCTCTTTTCCTGGTTCCTGTCAGAACACGTGCTGCAGCATTCTGGATCAGCTGAAGAGTCTTAATGGACTTTTTCGAGCAGCCTGAAAATAAGGAATTGCAGTAATCCAGCCTAGAAGTAACAAATGCATGGACTAGTTTTTCTGCATCATTTTTAGACAGGATGTTCCTGATTTTCGAAATATTACGTAGGTAAAAAAAGGCGGTCCTTGAAATTTGCTTAATGTGAGACTTCAACGACATGTCCTGATCAAAGATAACTCCAAGATTCCCCACAGTGGTGCTGGAGGCCAGGGCGATCCCATCAAGGGAAAATATATCTTTAGATAATGCGTCACGGAGGTGCTTAGGCCCCAGAACAATAACTTCAGTTTTATCTGAGTTTAACATTAGAAAATTACAGGTCATCCAGGTTTTAACATCCTGAGGGCACATTTGAAGTTTAGCTAACTGATGAGTGTCATCTGGTTTGATCGATAGATATAACTGAGTATCATCTGCATAACAATGAAAGCTTATGGAATATTTCCTGATAATGTTGCCTAAAGGAAGCAGATATAAAGTGAAGAGGATAGGTTCGAGGACAGATCCTTGAGGAACTCCATGACTAACTTTGGCATGCATGGAGGACTCATCGTTAACATGTACAAACTGAAATCGATCTGATAAATAGGACTTAAACCAGCTTAGAGCGGTTCCTTTAATGCCAATGAAATGTTCCAGTCTCTGCAATAGGATCTGATGGTCAATGGTATCAAATGCAGCACTAAGATCTAATGAAACCAGTACAGAGACAAGTCCTTTGTCTGATGCAATAAGGAGGTCGTTAGTAAAATAAAATAAAAACATGAAAACACATAATTGTTTGTGTGGTATTTGTCACGCCCTGCCGGTTGGCCATCCTTTGTGTTTACTTTTGAGTTTAGTATCTGCCTTAGTATGTTGAGTTTTGGTTTCTGTCCTGTCTAGTGTCCAGTATGTGCTATATAGTCTGCTTGTCATGTCAAGTCTCTCTGTTTTCCTCTGCTCTCTCTCTCTGCCTCGTTAGTCTCATGTCTGTCACCTGTGTTGCTCCCGCCCTGCTCGTTAGTCCCTGTGTGTGTATATATACCTGGTGTTTCTGTCTTGTCCTTGTCCGGTCATTGTTCATGTTACCCCCCAGTCTGTCGTGTGTGTACTCTCTGCTTGTCTTGTCTTGTCTTGTCTTGTCTTGTCTTGTCTTGTCTTGTCTCGTATC